CCTCTCGCCACGTAGTGTTAAGCGAGATGGGAACTTGTGGCTACCCTAAGCCTAAGGCTAAGTTACGGTTTACCTGATCAACACCTAGTACATCATAGAAATTATCTTTAATTTCTTCCACAAGATCAAGAAGTTGAATGTACTCTGTGTCCCAACAGTGTGCAGTTTTGGCTAATGCAAGTGTGCAAAACAGTAGTTTGACTACAAATACGCTAAACCGTTCACTACGATAAACTTTCATTTTGTCTCTACGCGGAAACCTGCACTAAACCGGCTGTGCGCTAGACTGGTACCCGGTCCCACCTCTCGGCTTAGGTTCGAACCATCGCGTAATCGAAGTGGGAGCAAGTTCCAGTCTAGCTGTCCGGCTGAACGTCATAATGTTTTACCACCTGGTGATGGTTATATTTCCACACCACAAGTCCACAACCATAGATATAGATATCATGTTGTTATATGATATCTATGATTGTAGGCCTATTACTGAAAAATATATAGTTGGGTTCAAAACTTCAGAAGACCGGCGGCGTAGCCTGGGAATGGGGGAGCTGGACGTCGGGTAACCGGAACATGTCTAGACCACTACTTATATTTCCCAGAAGTAGTATAGAAACCGCGACGATATGATACGCCAACCGGTAACTGGGTAAGTAACGAGTAGGCGATTTACCATAGTCATAGAGCTTACAACATACAACTTACAACTAGTGTTCTGCGATAGTATCGCTGCTAGTAGTAGTACTAGTGAGTAGTGTTAAGACTGTTAGTGTTACTGTTAGTGTTATGTTCTCGTACTTGTCGCCGTTGTCGGTGTCCACTACACTGGATATAATGACAAGGTAGTAAGTGCATTCAGCCTACCCAATAAACAAACGGGTGCATATATAATGATGATGGGAGTGCAATGCAACTGGTGTACTCTTAAAGTGGGTTTGCGTGCATGTGGGAGTGAAGCCTTGACTTAAAAATGTCAACATCCGTTGCTTCCACAACACCCACGGTTAGGTTGTTCCAGATTGGAATCATCTGGGGAAAAAATGAGAATTTGAATGTGTTGTACTATTACTTCTACTTCTACTTCTATACTGGACAGTCCGTGAGGAATAAACGTCCAGGGAGTGCGCGAAGAACTCCAGGTGCACGTGAGAGGCTTGCATTGCAATATACCGCATCCATACCGGAGAGCGTTGTACGTGAGTAAAGCAATCCAACATGGCAGCGCCCCTGTCAACGTTGTAACTTCGTTCGTGCTTAATAAA